TACATTTTACTCTTAATTTCTTACTAGGAGACCACTTACATATATAACATGGTATATTGTCTAAACCTGTTTCTGTTAACTAAAACATGTTCTTTCATGTAAAATATGAAAATGAAGAAAAATTATGTAAATCATCTAGTGAAAAGCCTCAACTAAATATAAATTATGGAGTGATACATGAATGAAAAAGAAAATTAAAATTTTAGGTGAAAAAAAATAATAATTGAACTTTTGAAGGGTAAAAAAATATTAAAGAAATTGATATGTAAAATGTTGCACAATGTAATATAAATTATAAAGGGTGGATTGTAAATTTTGATACGAGTATTTTAGTTTATTTGACTATTTTTAATGGCAAATATGTAAAGTTTTTAGCTGAAGTTATTTTTTATTACCATATTGTAAAATGTAATATGTAAAGTATATATAGGGCCTGTGTTTGATCCACATTCTAAAAAAAATTTATTCTTTCAATACTCATTTTCAACCATACAATTTTCAATAAAATTATATTACACGCATATTCAAAACTTTTTCTTTTTTTTTAACCACATATTTTCCATCACATCACCATTTAAAATACATCATTTCCTTAAGAACGTGCATCATACACCACTAGATTTTAAAAATAAAGTGTGTAAAGTCTAAACACTATAATTAACGCAGTTTAACCTTTTTCTTACTCCAAGATCTCAATAATTATTGCATTTACCAAAGATACATTAATTAATGTGTCAACCTAAGATTAAACACAATTGGCACCAAAATAATAAAAGAATAATAGATTTTTATTAGTTTTCTGTTTATAAATTACAAGAAATATGAATTACTCGAAAATAAAGATTTTATATCAATTATGTAATTAAATTTTTGGGTAAAATTATGAAGAAAGAATATTATAAAAATCTTGTAATATCTTCGACCGTACTAACTATTCAAAAAATTCCACAAATATTTAACTGTCTTTACAAACAGTGAGAAAAAGGATATACACCCTTAGTCTTTAAACTTAATAAAATTTCTTTAATCCTTAAAATTCATTTGAGCTAGATCGTTCCTATTAGTTTGAGTAACGGACATCATAAAGTGACGGTCTAGATATATTGGCCAACTAAATTTCTCTTCACATTTTTTGGTTAGTCTTGAAAATTGTGTTGTTGAAAATGAGTATTGAAAGAATGTGTTTTTTTAAAAATGTGGATCAAACATGAGTTAAGTCGATTAACTAGAGTGTTTAACTCCAAATAAGTTAATTGACTTATTTAATCTATAATATTTTGAACTTAAAAGCTGCATTTAATGGTGCTATGACAGTCAAGAACTGCTATGCAAACATGGGAGAAACAACTAGGAAGAATCCAAACAACACATTCTAGTTGTTGATGTCACTTGTTCAGTCTGCATTTACTAGTTAGATCACAAGTGTACTCTTTCTTTTCCACTTCCACCGCTTCTCAGTTTTTCTCTCTCTCTTTCTTAAAGACTTCCCTCCCTTCATGCAGATTTGAAGAAGGATTGAGTTTTTCAATACACTTCTACAGAGAGAATTGTAGAGAGAGAAAGAGATGGAAACTAACTCAGTTTCCAAGGTAGTGATGAGTTTGTTGTTGTGTATTTTCTTGATAACGAGAGCTCAAGTGATTCATTGCAGTGTTACCTATGATAAGAAAGCTATCATCATCAACGGACAAAGAAGAATCCTTCTCTCTGGTTCTATACATTATCCCAGAAGCACCCCTGATGTATGTACTTCTCTCTCTCTATATATATGTTTTTATCTTAATGAAATTGATCTCCTTCCCCGCCCCGCCCCCAGCGGACACGATAATGTGGAAAGAGAATCTTACTTATGACTCTTGCCACATGAGCAGTGAGAAGTTTTTATTCTGCCTACTGAAGGCCGGAAATCAAGGTGGTTTATGTTAAAACCCAAATGCTTATTTGAGCTCTAGACGGATGAATTGGTCGTTTGAACTTTTTGGGCTCTGATACATTCTCGAGTCTTTGAGTCCATCTCAAAAGCTCAACCTTGTAAAAAGTATATATATTTCTATAGTGAATTTAGATGGCAATAATGGTTTGTGATGATTCTGATGAACTGCAGATGTGGGAGGATCTTATACAAAAGGCTAAAAATGGAGGGCTGGATGTTATTGATACCTATGTATTTTGGAATATTCATGAGCCTTCCCCAGGCAATGTGAGTGTCCTAGATCTTCATTTTCGATTACTTCTTTTGTTGTCCAGTTTCTTGTACTAACTTGACATTTGTGTCTGATAGTACAATTTTGAAGGAAGATATGATCTCGTACGGTTTGTAAAGACCGTGCAAAAAGTTGGTCTTCATGTTCATCTTCGCATTGGACCTTATGTTTGTGCAGAATGGAATTTTGGGTAATTTCTTGCCTTTTGACTTGGAATAGATCGTTCAGTATTTTCTGCTGTTCCAAATTAATAGGTAGATCCAGAATCTTGTTTCAACCCAACTGCATTTTTCATATACTAAAATAGCATTTATGAGTAGAATTGTAAATCGGGTAGGGGCCGGTCGACTCAGGCCATGCTTTTCACATGTCGGGCTGCTCTCCGAGACTGAACAACCCGTACATTTTGGCAACTCTAATTTCAGTGATTGGAAGGCTTAACTAGCATATATCTAATTCCTTACAATTTGGCTGCAGAGGTTTTCCAGTATGGTTAAAATATGTTCCTGGTATCAGTTTCAGAACAGACAATGAGCCTTTCAAGGTGTTTACACTTTTTGCCTTAACTGTTTTATCTGTATTTCTGAAGTTTGTTGACAATTATTTGTACAATTTAGGGAAGAAATGAAAATTGACATGTTATGAGAACGTCCAGTAGAATTCACTGTTGCTATAAGTACATTTATTAGAATTCACTCTTAAACCGGCTTGTAAAAGGAGTGATCATTAGTCCACAAACCAAGCATTAGTTCTGTGATGTGTAGCTCGATAAGATCGTTGCAAAATCCTAATATTGTTTTAGATATGTTGAGTTATGCACTTGTACTCACTGTAAGTTTCTGTAATTGTATCGGTGACAAGGCGGCTATGCAAATATTCACCCAAAAAATTGTTGACATGATGAAAAGTGAAAACCTGTTTGAATCCCAGGGAGGTCCCATTATTTTATCTCAGGTATGAATTATGTTGTCTTAATTATGAGTTTCACAAAATTTCCATTTTGTAAATTTGTATTAGATATTTGGTTCATTTGGAGTAGATTGAGAATGAGTATGGGGCACAAAGAAGGGCACTTGGAGCCGCTGGCGACGCATACATGAATTGGGCTGCAAAAATGGCTGTTGGATTAAATACCGGAGTTCCGTGGATCATGTGCAAAGACGATAATGCCCCTGATCCTGTGGTGGGTTGTCCATTAATGTACCCATAGTTTTGATTGTTTTGTTTATTTTTGTCTTTTACCAAATGCAACAATCTGAAGCACAAAAAGAGAAATAAAGTAACACGAATGGCTGCAACTTCACCTTTCAAGAAGTGGGAGTTGAACACATGAAGACACATCTATAAGAATTGGTTGTAGTACATATAAACAGACGTGAATGCAATGTTCTTCGTGTATATATCTGAACTTGTTCTTTTGTACCATTACAACAGATAAATGCATGCAATGGATTTTACTGTGATACCTTTTCTCCCAACAAGCCTTACAAGCCCACCATGTGGACCGAAGCTTGGAGTGGCTGGTAACCATATTTGCTCGAACCTTAATCTATACTGCATTATGGGCTTCATCTTCAGCTATTTTACCTTATTACTCTTCTTTTCTTCTTTCTCGGCGTCTAAACAATAAGGTTCAACGAGTTTGGAGGCACGATTCATCAGCGACCAGTTCAGGATCTAGCATTCGCCGTTGCTCGTTTTATACAAAAGGGAGGCTCATATATTAATTATTACATGGTTAGTACAATGATAGATATAAACGCATATCAATTGTCACATGCTAGAACTTATTTCAGTAAATTAATCTGCATACTCTGTTTAGTATCATGGAGGAACAAATTTCGGGCGCACAGCTGGAGGTCCTTTTGTTACAACCAGCTATGATTATGATGCTCCAATAGACGAATATGGTGAGAAAACTAAGCTCGACAAGTTATGTTCATGCATTTCTCCCCAATCAATTGTTGTTGTGTGAGTAATAACTCCAAATCAATTATGTCTTCTTTCAGGTCTGATAAGAGAACCGAAGTACGGTCACTTGAAGGAGCTCCATAAGGCTATTAAACTTTGCGAACGAGCTTTAGTTTCTTCAGATCCTACCATTACTTCATTAGGAAACTCTCAGATGGTTAGGCTTTTTCAGGGATGCTTGCTGCATTTTTGAATGAACTGTGAAGAGAATATTGTTATACAGAGCATGATTGGCTAAGCTTATAAAAAAAGTAAATTTAGTTTTAAGTAACTTTGATAACTTACTTTTTTCTTAATTTAAGGGATAAAAATAGTTGTTTTTTTCTTAAGTAACTATCTCTTTCAGTTGAACTAACTTACTTTTTTTTTTCAACATTGACAAAATAAAAGAAACCTCTCTTTTAAAAAACTTATTTACTGAAAGTTAACTTTTAATCATACACGCTCTAAACGCAGTTCTTGATAAACTAGAGGTTGGATACACGAATCCTTTTTCTTCAATCCGTTTAGTCTACAATAGATCTAGTGGGAGATTTAAAATTTAGATCCTTAACCAACTATAATAGGCCACGTTAGTTTTGGTCTGCTCCCCTCTTCCGATTCATTCTATCAAAATTGCATCACTCTTATGAATGAGAACCTCTTACCAAGAATATGGTTATACTAATCCAAATTTCTTGCTTTCAGGCTTATGTATTCTCCGGAGGTGAAGGAATTTGTGCAGCTTTTCTTTCGAACTTTAATAGGAATTATACTGCAAGAGTGATTTTCAACAACATGCACTACAATTTGCCTCCTTGGTCCATTAGCATACTTCCCGACTGTAGAAATGTAGTCTTTAACACAGCAATAGTAAGTCGAGTTATTAAGATATTAGTTTGTTTCTTCGACTAAAACTTATGACTCACTTTGTTATCTTGTGATTACTAAGGCTGGAACACAAACTTCAAAATTTCAAATGTTACCCACGAATTCTCAGCTGCACTCATGGGAAACTTACGGAGAGGACATATCTTCTTTAGAAGAGAGTTCAACACTAACAGCTAATGGACTTCTAGAGCAGATAAGCATAACAAGGGACAGCAGTGATTATTTATGGTACATGACAAGGTAAGGCTTTTTCTGGCTTTCTAGCTATGTCATGGAGATAATTTTGGCTTTATACAAATCAGCTTATATTTGTGACCATAACTCGTGTCCTACATTTGTTCATCCAAATCCAGCATTTATATTGGTTCAACGGAATCATTTACACTAAAAGGACAAAAGCCGACTCTAACTGTCAACTCAAGAGGCCATGCAATACATGTATTTGTCAATGGCCAGCTTTCAGGTAGGAGGTCCTATTTCTTGCATGATCTTATCGACAAAATCTCGGTACTGGTCGATGATGCCAACAATAATGGAAAGCTTTCCGTAGTTGGCGAGTTTCCCCCTCCCAGTTTCGTCATTTCTCTCGAATGCCATTTTCTATAATATGTGATTAAGTGCATGACTGAGGCATGTGATTAAGTGCATGACTGAGGCAAAAAGAGTTATAACTGTTTACATCACATCTCTGTTATGGAAGTACAATGACAATAGAAGTGTCTCCTAATATACCATTGCAGGATCTGCTTATGGAACCAGAGAGAATACAAGATTGACTTTCACTGGCCCTTTGAACCTGCATCCTGGAACAAACAAAATTGCTCTACTCAGCATAGCTGTTGGACTACCGGTAAGTTGTTTCTCTTTACGAGCTTGTTTGGCCTGGTTTAATGGGCAAGACTCGACAATAATAAGAAAGAGGCAGAAAAAAATAGTTAACTGTCTTACACAGTATTGTCCATTCAAGATGAATTACTTCTTGAGCCCATTTGATAGTTAGTTCCTCACGAGTAATGAATACGTTGGTGTTGAAGAACATTGGGATGCATTTTGAGAACTGGGATGTTGGAGTACTTGGATCAGTTCTGCTGGAAGGGCTAGACCAGGGGAAAAGGGACTTATCTCGAGAAAAATGGTCCTATAAGGTGATAAAATGATTCATAGTTATCAGTTTTCCCCCTGTTGGCCATTCATAGTTATCTAATACAGCTTACCGAACATGCGCTTACAATGTACCATTCAAATAGGTTGGTTTGAAAGGAGAGGCAATGGATTTGGTGTCTCCAGACGGACTCTCCTCTGTCAAGTGGGTACAAGGATCATTAGTCACCCAAAGCCAGCAGCCTCTGCGATGGTACAAGGTAACACTATGACAATCAAGTCCAAACAAACTTGAGTTTGATATTATCTGAAAGAAACGTTCTTGTTTCACGGATCACTCGTAAGTATCCTATCGTTATATCATTTTTTTGAAACTTTGTAGGCATATTTTGATGCACCTGAGGGAGAAGAACCTTTGGCTTTGGACATGAGAACTATGGGTAAGGGACAAGTATGGATCAATGGTCAAAGCATTGGAAGGTACTGGTTGGCTTATGCAAATGGTAATTGTGGCAATTGTGACTATAAGGGTACATTCCGAGAGTCAAAATGCCAACTAGGCTGTGGTGAACCAACTCAAAGATGGTAATATTCTGAAACACTTTATAAGCTCAGTTCGAACACGTGTCTACGCTTAGAATTTACTTGTCATATAACAAAAACATACTTTTTTTAAGTCTTTACTTAAAGGAACTTTTTCTCTTTGGGGTCAGCCAATAGTGCTCATAGAACTTCATAGGTTGTTTTCCAATAAAATAGCGCAAGAGGTTACTAATCATACTTTCTGACTTATCTTCTAATACACTTCCATCAGGTACCATGTTCCGAGATCTTGGTTGAAGCCGACAGGAAACTTGTTCGTACTTTTCGAAGAACTGGGTGGAGATGTGTCGAAGATATCTCTAGTTAAAAGAACAGTAGCAAATATATGTGCTCACACATTTGAACACCACCCTGCAGTTGCAAATTACCATACTGAAAACAACGGTGAAACAAAAATGCTTCGTCAGGTGAAGGTTCACTTACGGTGTGAACCTGGCCAGTCTATATCGATCATTAAGTTTGCCAGTTACGGGACTCCTTCAGGAACTTGTGGAAGTTTTCAGCAGGGAACTTGTCATGCACAGAACTCACGTGCCATCGTAGAGAAGGCAAGTCTGCATCATTTTTCTCAACTGGCACTGGAAAGTATTAAGAAAGAATGAGAAGTTAAAACTTTTTTGTTTATTATAGATTCCAATCTTATCTAATACTGCATACCAAACAAGCATGAACTTGTTTACGATTCATGGATTATTTCTCAAGTCCAGAAATAACTTTTCAAACAAATCATGAAAATCTTTACTCTGATGAGTTCGTTTGTGAGTATGCTGCAGATGTGCATTGGAAAGGAGAGTTGCAGGGTTACAGTTTCGAACAGCTACTTTGGTACTGATCCATGCCCCAACGTATTGAAGACGTTATCAGTTGAAGCTGTCTGTTCTAAGGCAAAAGCGATCGAGGTGAAACCGTGACAGAAACAGAAGTAGAGGAACTTTCCGATGGACCATCACTATCCTTTTATGACATGTTTGGTTGGTAGGGAAGACTCGATAGTATTGGACGATATCTTATACTATCCAATCATATCCCATACCGAAGGTGCACATAACCCAACTTGGAAACGAAAAATGATACTGACCAAGAAGAGTACATTGTACACGCTATGAACAATATAGATGGTAGGGAAGGCATTTCCATTAGACATAAGAACAATGGGCTTTAGTTTTTGAGATTCATTCCCTAGCTTTACCATCCAAAATGAGCAGAAACCACAAGAAATGAATCTGCGGAGAATAATTTTTAGACGTAAATTTGCTTCAGCATTTTCAGGTAATTTTATTTATGGGGTGGTCAAGATTTTTCTTCTTTGACGTTATTTTCGTTGTGCGTACAAAATTTGTGATGATTTTGTTTCGATCTTTACCCCACTAACGTCACTTTCGTTTCTCCAATTTATACAAGATAATTAAATAATCCAATCACTATAATCAGTTGAGATTCTCCTTGGCCGGGAACTCATGGCCAACGAGTGAGATTGACTAAGACGTTAATGAAGAGAGTAAAAGTCTGCATATTTAGCCCCCGTTCCTTTTTTAATCTAAATCAAATCAATATTTAATTTTAATAACATATTTCAAAAAACCGTAATTTTTCAATTACACATCCCATCAACTTTTTCAAAATTTGTTAAAAATATGATTTTAATCCACACTAAACATGTGTTTAATAAAATGATGCATGGATAACATAAATTCGTAATTAGTAAACATGAACATGTCCTCTCAGTCATTACGCTTTGTAAATATATTTTCTTCACAAATTAATTTAATAACGATATTTACACTATTCAGAATTGAATAAATATATTTAAACATTTTTTAGTTTCAACTAAAATCAAATGAAAATAGTAGTATAACATCTTACTCTTGTCTGTCCAATTCTTTCAGCGTTATTCTTTAGACTTAAAAACGCATTAGAGTCTTATAGGAAGCTCGCGTTTCCACGACTTTAGTTTACACTACAGACAACTTGACCTACAGAACTGCAGAGGAACCGCCTCTCCTACAAAGGCAGTTTCACGTGGCAGCTATATTAATCTACAGTGTTTGGCTCTACACACACCGACCCGCACAAAAATCAATCATTCGACTCAACTATTCTTGAAATACATATAATCTCAATTTTTGGTTTGACTTTTTTGTGTACAAGTGATTATAGAAGTATACAATTTTTTGCTGATAATTAGAAGGGACACCGGAAAATGGATGATGATCCACGACAGTGGGAAAATATAGTCAGTCACCCTCGATTTTTCTCGGACTATGATTTATGATTTTGTTGTGGGTTGAAAATAATTTCTCTAATTTTTTTTGTGGCTATATTTTAGAGATTCCAATTTTAATTGTTAATTTAAGTTGGGTTTTCATTCTTTGTTTGCATTTGATAGATGCTTGGTTTGGAATATTTTTTTGTATAGATAAGGGCATCCATCAGAAAAGAATGCACCAAGTTAGTATGAAACTGGAATTTATACTTTTTAGATGTAATTGATTTTCGGAAGTTGTTTAGCTTTTCGGGTGGTTACTCTTTATGGTAAACAACTTTTTTAATTGTATTACTATTCGGATCTATTTCATGTTGCAGAACATATATATTCGGAGATTCTGTGCGCCACTTCTTTATGTAGAAATTATTTCTTAACCATTTCTACTTGCGTAGTGCAGGATAGGCTAATCACCAGACTACTTTGGAACGAGAGAATCTAGTTTAGAGAGCATGCAGTACTCTAATAGTGGATTGGGGAGGACCGGGGGGGGGGGGGGGGGG